GGTGCACAGGCAGCCCAGGGCACGGATCCCAGGTGCAGGCTAGCTACGGGCGGAACCCAGGGAAGAGGCGCTGCTGGCTGTCTGCAGTCGGTCGCACATTTGCATGCAGATAAACCAGTGAAGAGGCGAGCACTGAGACAGATCTCCCAGGCCCCAGCCACTGGCGCAGGGTGGCAGACTCACACATTTGTGCTCAGATAAGCAAGCAGGGGCGAGCGGTGAGGCGGACTGGGTGAGTGGAGAGGACCGCCATTGCTCCCTCTGTGACCCTGCCCCCATATACAGCGTCACAAACCAGTGACCTGGGTGGTCCCGCTCCAGTAAACACCATGGCGCCTCTCCTCATACGTAACAGGCACAAACAGATCAAAACATGGCTCAAGAAGAACTCAGAGCCCCAGAGCCCATAAATCTAAGCAATGAAGAAATAGCCAAACTTTCCAAACTTTCAGTTCAAAACACTGGTGATCAGGATGCTCACAGAACTGGTTGATTTTAGTCACAAATTAGAGGAATATATGAAGGCTAAACTAATTGAAATGAATGGAATTGCACAGGAAACCAATAGTAATGGAAAGGAAACTGGGACTCAGATCAAAGGAATACACCAGAAAGAGGAAAAAAATGACCAAACAGAAAAGGATGAAGAAACAAGAATTCAAAAAAATGAGAAGAGGCTTAGGAACCTCCAGGACATCTTTAAACGTTCCAACATCTGAATTATAGGGGTACCAGAAGGGGAAGAGGAACAGCCATGAGTGGAACAGTTATTTGAACAAATAATAAAGAAGAATTTCCCCAATCTGGCAAAGGAAATAGACTTCCAGGAAATCCAGGAAGCTCAGAGAGTCCCAAAGAAGCTGGACCCAAGAAGGAACACACCAAGGCACATCATCATTACATTAGCCAAGATTAAAATGAAGGAGAGAATCCTAGAAGCAGCAAGAGATAAGGGGACAGTCACCTACAAAGGAGTTCCCATCAGACTGTCAACTGATATCTCAAAAGAGACCTTACAGGCAAGAAGGGGCTGGAAAGAGGTATTCCAAGTCATGAAAACCAAAGACCTACAACCAAGATTGCTCTATCCGGCAAAGTTTTCATTTAGAATAGAAGGACAGATAAAGTGCTTCTCAGATAAGATCAAGGAGTTCATCATCACCAAGCCCTTATTATATGAAATGTTAAAGGGACTTACCTAAGAAAAAGAAGATAAAAAAGATGAACAGTGAAAGGACAGCAAACTCACAGTTATTAACAACCACACCTAAAACAAAAGCAAATTAAAAGGACAGCTAGATCAGGAGTGAACCATAGAAATGAAGATCACATGGAGGATTAGCAACAGGGGAGTGGGAGGAGGAGAAGGGGGGAAAAGGTACAGAAAATAAGTAGCATAGACAGTAGATAGAAAATAGATAGGGGGGAGGGTAAGAATAGTAGGGGAAATATAGAATCTAAAGAATTTGAGACATGTGTTAATGAACTAAAGGGGAGAATGGTGGGGGAGGGGTGTGCAGGGTGGAGGGGAACGGAGGAGGGGAAATAGAACAAATGTAATGGTATAATCAATAAAAAAAAAAGTTAAAAAAAATGACTTTGCTGTTTCAGGAAGCTTAGAGGTCACACGGTTAATGCAATTTTCAGTTTTCATATTAGGCTATGAGTCATTCTTGTTTGTCTTAGCATTCTTTCCTCTTCTTTCCTCACATGTGCCAAGCACCCCACTGGGGGCAGGAGCCCCATCACTCACTCAAGAAGCAATTCACTGGCTCACTCTGGGTGGATGACGGCTTTCATGAGTGTACTTGGTCATTTCGACCGAACAATGTAACCTCACATTTCTCAGCCCCAAAGAGCCCCCTGACTGGCACCCCCAGAACCCCTTCACATAGGACCCTGGGCCCCATCATCTCTAGCACCAAACTCTCTCACCACATACACACTTCCCACTGCCTTCTGAGTACCTCCACCAGATGTCCCAGAGTCACCTCAAATTCAGCACATTCTATTTGTGCAAGGATATCCAAGGGCGTCATTCAAATTGATGCATTTCATTCTATGAAAATTACACCTCAACAGCAACAAAAACATGTTTTAAGAGATGCATGTTTAAAATGGAATCCATCTTTCCCCACTCCCAAAACTCCTCCTTCTAAGGTATTCCTGAGCTCACTCCAGGCTGTTCCTTATCTCCCTCAGCCTCCAAGCCCGATAAACCCCCAAGACCTAGTGATCCCATCTACCACAGCTCTCTCCAGACTTCCCCTTCTCTCCATTTTCTCGTCACGTCCCATCATCATCTTCACTCAATGACCCTGACCACCTACGTTGTGCCAGGCACTGTGCTAGCCCTTGCATGTACAGTGAAGAGCCACAGGTAGGTGATGTCTGGAAGGAGCTGGCATTGCAGAACCCCATGCGGTCAACACGACAAAACCACTTCTTCACACTGCAAAAACGTTCCCATCACATCTCATTCTGGTTCGCTCTCACAGGCTGCACCCACCCCTGCATAAACACCTTATCGGTGGACCTCATCTGTCTCGTTCGCTTCTCTGAATCCAGGGCCTGGCTCCAGCAGCAGGACTCCGGGGGTTGAGAAGGAAGTAGAGAAGAGTCGCTCCTTTGTCGAGTTCTCTCTCTCTGTCTGGTGAGCCTTTTGCTTCAGGAAGAAGTTGCGCACACTACAATAAACACTCAGACCACAAAAACACATTGAAACCACTGAAAATGAAGTAATCAGACCAAGTGAAATATTTCCGCCGTCTGGAGAAATAACATCCCAAGGGCCAAGACAGTTACCTAGGAAAACGTCTAAGGACATTACCAGGCCGGAGGGGCGGCAGGTAGGGGGATTCCATACCAGTTAGAAAGTGTCGTGGTTGGCACACCACCGTGAAACTCTAAAACTGCACTTTAATGGAGATTCTGGCTGTCGTCCCCAGAGAACATTTCAAGGCATTTCAAAACTTGAGAAGTAGAGGCAGCTGAGTGGAGGTTTTCATCCATATTGAACCCAGATCGGGCGGTAATACAAGGATTTCTGCAGGTGTCCCCGCTCTGCACCCGGTGCCCCTCCCACAAAGGACCCATCATTCTTCAGGCCCTGGAGGAGCAGCATGGAGCAGGGGTCGAATGACGGGCTCTCGGCCCTCCTGGGAAATGGGACAAAGCTGACAAGGGACAGATGTGGGAGGCCCAGGCGGCTCAGGGCTCAACGGTACAGCCAGCCCCACAGACTCAGCAGAGGGAGCACAATGCTGTGTGATTCAAAGAGCAGGCTTAGCCCCGGTCTTGTGAAAATAACATCTGCCTGTTCTCAAGGGCAAAGCAAACGGCTCCTCAGGGTCAGGGAGCCGCCAGAACTCTTTCCCAAGTGTTTGAGTCTGGCCTTGCTGTACACGTTTTGCCCCTGGGTGTTTTTTCCTTAATTTTTAGGCCCAAGTGTATTTTAAGGTAAATCAATCCCACATGCTTCTGATTCATTTACACTGAATTCATCAGACCGTGTTTGGAAAGAGCAACCTGAGGCCCAAGAAGCTCTCTGAGTGGCTTTACGAGTCCCTGTGCCTTTGTTCTTAGGAGCGGGAAGCCACGTGTTGACATGGACAAATAAAATGCAAGGCCTGCGGTCTGGGTCCAAATGTGGCACCTCTGAAACCAATGGGTCCTGAGGTCACCAAGACCGAGCTCCCCTGCCCTCTCTTCCGGAAGTTCAAGGAAACCTAACCCGTGTGCTCTGTGGAGCCTGAGTCTGTAACTGGGAGCTGCTCCGTGTGGAGCCCACACCAACCCCCACAGCACCCCTAACTCCAGGCCCATTCCTGAAGCCTCACTCCCCCACCCTGCAGGGGGAGCTGGGCTCAGAGCCACCATCTGGTCTCCGCTCAGCGGAGAGCTAGCGCAGCCCGGCCCTGGCACACCTCTAGGAAGCCATCCCTTCTCTTCCGAGCTGTGGAACGAGGTGTTCGGAGCCGTTAATGGTATTGCTAATATCACTCGAACCTGCTGAAGGAGCACAATGGGAGATGGTTTGGATATGACTAGTTTTAGAGAAAAAAATAGCCACAGCAAAGCCACATGTGCAGTGTGGCTACGAGACATGCTCTCTGGGTGAGGAAGCCAAGCACTCTGTTCCTTGCACCGAAAAACCAGCTATTAAGAATCTATGAAACTCCTCTTAACCCTAAGAATCCAGGGCACAGTTCCTGGCAAACAGGGGGTGTTTAATAAATATATCCGAACAGACCTATCCTGTAGAAGCAACTCTGGACATCAGGGAGTACACCTGCTCCTTCTGAAGCCTTCAGTCAACTTGTGGGCTAGGGTACAAGGCAGCTGCCCCCCCTCCCCCACCTGTTCTCTAATCCGTGCCTTGTACTTCTGGCCTTTCGCCCCTGCCTAGTGTTCTAGCACTGGAAGAGTCCTTGCTCAGGGAAAGGATGATACATCCTACAAGTAAATAAAAATGGTGTGGATGGCGAGGGGGCCAGGACTTGGGCCACGTTGGTCTCCCTTTCTTCATAGTGTTCATTACCGTGTGTTCTCAGCTCCACCTGTTCATTAGAGTTTTAAAAATTCCTGATGCCTGGGCCCCGCCTGCAACCAACTCAATCAGAGTCTCTGGGAGTGATGCCCAGGAATTTAGTTGTGTCTTAAAAACCCCACTCGTCCCCCCCACTCTGCAGGCAAGGTGAGGGACCACTGACTGAGAGTGACTTGAATAGATTCCTGCTCTGGAAAAAGTCCTTGGAAATAACCCACATATCAGAGGAGCTGATAGTTTTCTAATCAAATGAAATAGGATTCAGGCTGCATGCTTCCCCCTAACTTCTCCACCCCCATTCTGCTCCCCTGTCCCCATCACCTGCCTGAGTCACGAAGGTCAAGTTCTCTGAAGAGCTTTTGAAGCCAGTACAGCAAACAGGCTGAAAGACAGCTAGAACCAACCGCAAGTGCTGAGTCACCTAGGATGTCAAAAGGAACCAAACGCAAAATCTCTTCAAATATTTAATCAGTTTGGAGACCTCTGCCTTCTAACCCAGTTGGGTAAAAAATTTAAAGAAAGTTTAAAGAAGGGGTCCTGGGAGAAAACACCGGGCTAAAACGGAGAGGAGGCTGGGTTTGGGAAGACAGAACATAACATGTGCCTGAAGGCCTTTTGAAGGAATTCCACCACTTGTTATTTCAAAAAACAAAAACAAAAAAACTCAAAATGAACAAAAAAATAAAGGATTAAATAGTTATACAAATTTCAGGAGAACTAAAACTTCTTTTATGGCTGAAAATACCAGACATGGTTTTGAAATAGACTCTTTAAAACCCTTAGATCCTGCAGTGGTTCCTTTCCATCGCCTGCTCTGTACATACAAGAAGCAAACTAGCTACACACAGCATCCGCATGAGCTCTCGGGGCCTTCGCGAAGCAGCAGTCAGCGAGCGAGCGAGAGAGAGAAGGCACGGAGGAGGTGAGAGGGCGCTGTTCACAGTCTCTGAACATGGACTTGGACCCCAGCAAGCCTAAGCTATTTTCTTTACAAAATAAGAAGATAAACTGAAGGGCTCCAAAAATCACCGTCGACCTCAGGTCAGGGTGCCAATAATAATACTTTTCGATAACTGCTTTGTGGAAATGGGGGCCAGTGCACCCCTCGGGACATCAGGTCTATGATAATATGGGTGGGGTCAGGACAGCGGGCTGTCTCCTTGGGAAACATTCAGCAGGAATGGCGTTGACGTCTGTCTCGCTCTCGTTCTCCCTCTCGTCTCTTCTCTTCCTGTCCCTGGGCGCTGTTGAGAGGCAGTGTCAGAGGCTGCAGCCCTGGGCCCTCAGAACGGGTACTGCGACACATGTATCCGCAGTCGGATCACGGAACTGCCTCTGAAGTTGATGACGGTGTTGACAGTGATCATTTCCAAGTCTAGCTGTATGTCCCGGGGACCTTTGATGGGGCGCGTCATCACCAGAGTGGCACTGATGGGGCCCGTTTGCTGTGGACAGAACCCATGACACTAGTTAGAGAAGATCTGACCAACGTGAGGGGGAAGAGTAAGCTTGACCCCGGAAGTGTCACCAACAGCAGAGAAGGCTAGGAAAGCAGACGGCTGTCCATCAGGACACACGGTCTCTCACGTGATCCCCAAAGTAGAAGCCTGGGGTGGTCTGGCCCCAGCCCACCTCTGCAGCCTTAATTAGGGTGCTCCTGCTTCCCCACTATGGTCATACTGGCACCCCCTTGGTGCCACGCGCTCCCTGGCTTTGCCCACAAACCAGCTGGCTCTTTCCTGCTAATGCTTCGGGTCTCACCCAGAAACATCACTTCCTCAGAGCAGCCTTCCCTGCTTCCCTTGATGGAAGTCACGCCTCCCTCCACCTGCCCCCCAGCCTTCTGCCATTGCACCTACTATTCTGCATAGAATGGAAAATAATCATTACCATGTACCACTGTCCACACTATTTACTTGGCCCACGTCCAAAGGCTAGGTCCCCACTAGACCATGAACTCCATAGGACCAGGATCAGGGTTAGGTTTGTCACCACTGGGTCCCCTAAACACCACGGTGGTGCCTGGCACGCGGGTGTTCAGTAAACACATCTCGAATGAAAGAACGAGTAAGTGATGAAACTGACCCAAAGCTGTCACTTCACCTCTCGGAGTCCCAGCTCTGCAACGAGGGTTTGTGCCAGATCAGTGGTTTCTAGGTCGACAGACTCCAAAGCACCTCAGACACATTTTTTGAACTAAAGGTTCCAGGCACCAATTCCAGGATTTTGTGCCTCAGAGGATTTTTCGATGACGCCTGAGGCGACCGAAATTCGATGATGAGTCTCCAGGTGGTTGCAATGGGCAACCCCCGCAGAGACACCGCTGTCAACTCCCTGTGACAACCCTACCGCCGTGGTCCTAACAAGTTCATGTGAACCATTCTTCTCCACTGAAGCTCTTCCCACAATTTCTGAGGTGGGAGGGAGAGCAGACTGACGTCAGCGGAGACCCACCTTGGGCGAGGCCCTCCTCTGGCCCCTCCTGTGCACACGTGTGTGTTTAACCCTCATGAAAACCCGGGAAGGCCTCGCTGCTCACAACGCGGTCCCTGGCCCAGCCGCCTCGGCAGCACCAGGGAGCCTGTTAGAAATGCAAGGTCCCAGGCCCCACCCGAGACCTGCTGAGCCAGAATCTGTAGTTAACACAATCTCCAGGTGATTTGTGGGCACATTAACAACTGAGAAGTGCTCATCTAAAAGCACAGATCCCACTCTGGCCGGGTTGCTCAGTGGGTTGGAGCACTTTCCCCTACACCTGAAGGTTGTGGGTTCAATTCCTGGTCAGGGCACACACCGAGCTGGCAGGTTTGAGTCCCAGTGGGGGCACACAGAAGGCCACCGATGGGTGTTTCTCACATTGATGTTGCTCTCTCCCCCTCTGTCTGTCTCTAAAATCAATGAACGTAACTTCAGGTGAGGTTTAAAATAATAACAATTTAAAATAAATAAATAAAAGCACAGATCCTGGCTGCCACATTAAAGGTATCTCATTATCTCCCAATTTTAAAAATAAGCAAGCTGAGGCCCAGTAGGGTTAATAATTGCTCAGGCTCACCCGGCTGGCCAGGGCCAGAGCCAAAGGAGCTCATTCAGGAGTTTCCATCCGACGCCAAGCCCCAGGCTATGGCATTGCACAATTATCAGAGGAGACTGGTGGGTTTTACTTGTCTTCCCAGCCCTGCCCTTAAGGAGAGGAGATGCTCGAGGTTCCGTGAAATGGCCAGGCAGCGGGCCCCTGGACCGGACACTGCATGGGAATGAGGGAGTGCTGGGCAACTGCTTCCTATAAGCTGCAGAGCCTGGCACTGTGCCCAGGAACAAAGCAATGGGCCCTGCAAATCAAGAAACTTGGCCACGGGTGTTTTATCTGTTTCCACAAGGGAGGGCTTCCTATAAGGCTCTAGACATCCCCAAGAGCTCCACAGGTATGCCAAGGGTGGGGCTGGCAGGCAGGTGTCAGCCAGGTACTGAGACCTCCACTGTCCACTGACCCAATTTCCTGTTGGCACCAGCTCCCTCTGTTCACGTCAGCACCAACGCAACTGGCACCTGCTCACGCAGAGGATCTCACGGACTTCCTTGTCAACTCTTGCAAAACCTAGAGCCCCAGGCCAGGTCTTCAGGGCACAGCCGCACAGGGAAATGCAGCATTTACGTGCATAAATATCCCACCAGCTTTCGCTGTTTGCATGAACCAAGGCCGAGGGCTGAGAACCCTGAGCTGTGGGTGGCCCTCTCAAGGCAGAGAGACAGAGTGCAGAGCAGGGGTGGAACAACTAGAAACTTCCAGGTTGTGTCTCTGGGCTTTCCCAGCAAAAGTCTCCGGAGTACGACAAGTTCATTGTCTCTCCCCTTTGGAAGTAACTTCAGAGGCCAGGGAGCTTGATCTCCTGAGAAAGGCCTGCCCACAGCACAGAGAGGGCTCAGGCGCCAGCCAGGGGAGCTGAGGGCAGTGCCCCCACACCGCTCACTCATCTTTTAGGGCAGAGTCAGGGCATTAATGAAATGGGACCCTGAGAGCCCCTGGCCATTGGTGGACTTGGTGGTCACAGAGCAAAATGATGATAATGGTGGTGGTGCAGGTGGTGGTGGGTGCTGGTTGGGGGATGCGTGATGATGATAATGGAGGTGCAGGTGAGCAGAAGTGGTGGAGGGGTTGATACTAGGCATTTGGCCACGGCCTTTCACACGTCTCCTACTTGACCCTCATCACCCCACATGAGTAGGTTAAGTGTACTTGAGCAGGTCGCCCAACTAGCCCATGGTACTGGCAGAGCTGACTCTAAAAATCATGCTCTGACCACCACGCTCTATGGTGAAGTCTTGATGCCTCCTCATTTCCCGATGCCCCAGCAGTAACTCTACTTGATAGTCCCCCCTTGGCATTGTAAGTGTCTGCGTGGCTGTCCCTCCCTCCCTTCCTTCTAGTGTGGGCTCCTCAAGGGTAGAGGCCGTGTCCTGTTTGTTCTTGAGCGCACGTGCCTACCCAAAGCCACACACAGGGTGGTGCTGAATCGTTGTTGGCGAAGGAAGGAGGGATGAGTACCGGGTGCCCACGGAGTCGCCCACAGTGGGCATGGGCTGCAAACAGCACACCTGAGCATGTCTTCTTGGCCCTGCTCCCACACGCTTGGGTTTGTTCTGGACCAGCCTGAGGGGCAGCACTGTCTGATGCACAGCATGCAGCCAGACCATGGCAAGTTGGCTTCCCTGGCCCTGCCACCTGACCCACAGGCGTCATGCGCTGAACACGCTTTGGCAAAGCCCGAACCCCTTGACTGCGCTTCCTCCTCTGGTTCCAGTCAAGTCCCTGCATCACTGGCCAAAACCAATCACCAGTCCTCTATCTAGGGCTCAGGGTGAGACAGACTGCCACTAGGGCTTGTGAAAGGAACATGCGTGCATGTGCAGGTACAGGTGGGGGTGTGTGTGCATGCACATGGGTGTGTGTGTTCGCACATGCATGCATGTCTGTGTGCATGTGCGTGTGCACGTGAATGGGGTTTGCCTGCTGGGTAAGATGAAGTTCTCCCGAGTGTCTGTGATATGACCAGTGAACCTCAGGGTGGGAGAGCCGGGCGGCCATCAGCTGCCCTCCCACGTGATGCTCCAGGCCCGTGGGCAGCACTGCTGACTCCTGCTGGGCCCCGGAGCTCACAGGCTCCTAACTGCAGCAGGAACAGCAGCAGCGGGAACCACCCCATCAATGCAGTAGCAAGTAATGCTTCTTGGATACCCTCCATTGTTACTAGACTTACAGCAGACTTTTCTCATCTTCTCAACTTCTGCTGAGGTCCCAAAGCTAGAAGAGTAAGTAAAAATACCCCACATCCTAAACAGAAATACAAGAGCATGTCTAGAGTTTTTGTTGCCAGACCATCAGATGTGAATCCCACTCTGGGGCTTCCCGACTGAGATTTTGGGCAATTACTTAGCCTCTTTGTGCCTCAGCACTCCCCTCTGTAAACTGGGCTGGCCAGGCAGGCCCTGCACATGGGATTGTGGGAAAACCCTGGGCACAGTGCCTGAAGCTGTTGAGCACGGTGGAGGACTTGTGTGGTGTCTGTTCTGTTTTATAGGACTTGGAAAGTGGTGGCCCCAAGCCAGATCCGTTTCTCTCCCTCTGTGACCACCTCCAACCTATAAACATATACTGTATCAGTCCCCATCTCAAGCAAGAGAGGGTTTCAAGAGAACTGTTCAGAAGTGTGGGTCCCCTGACATTTCAGGGTGCAGAGGGCAGTATCTGAGTCCCTCCTGGGGAAACCCAGAGAGTCCTACAGCGGCCTCACACCCCAGTCAACAGCAGCTGCAGCAGGGACCCGGCTGCTGGTGTCCTGAAGCCCAGGTGTAAGGTCTGCCTGCCAGGGTGAGGTGGCGACCCTGCCCCCGGAAACTCTGTGCTGGATGCAACACCAGAAAGAGGGGTGAGAGGCCCTGTCACCCACACCAGGGAATGGTCAGTGCTCAGTTCTCAGGGAAATCTCCAAACATCCCACGAAACATCCACCCAAAGCAAGAGCATGTGAGGCTCTGCCCCAGAGAGCCCAGTAACACCTGCTTGCCATGGCAATGACCAAGACCTGGGCCCCACCCTCTCCCTTCCGCCATCTGCCCCCCCACCCTGGAGGAGGAGTCAGGGGCAGCACCAGTCAGTGGGGGCAGGGGAAGAGCACGGTGCACAGAAGCCAAGCACTCCTCCAGAACCACGCCCTGGATTCTTCCAGAATCCCACCTTTACACTGGATGAGAGACTGACAGGTCCAAGTTCCCACTTAAACCAGCTTGGACTTTGGATGTGGAGGAGGAAACGATTCACTTGTAACTGAAAGCACTTGTGAGCCCTATGGGTTTAACCTGAGGTGTCTCCCGGGGTGCCTGGGCTCAAGATGGCAGGGTGGGAAAAAGAAAGTTATCGAATGCTTCCCCCTCGCCCGATGCCAGTCGTTTGACGAGAAGGCACTCTGTGTCCCAGGCGCTGCACAAGGACGTGATCTCATCTAATCCTAAAGTAAATACTGTCACCAGCACCCTGTCTGCGCAGATGAGGAAGTGGAGGCTGGAGAGGTTGGGTAATGTGGCCAAGGTCACGCAGCTGGGGAACTGCAAACCGCAACTGAGGCCGGACGGCCTGGCTCCGGAGCCAGCATTAGGAACACGGGTAAGCCAACATTAACCCATTAGTTACGCTGTGACTTTGGGGTTAATCTGAATATTCTCATTTTTCTACCATAAATATGTAAAAAAAGCCATGTAAAAAATAAAAATTCAAATGTGCCCTGAGGAGGGTGTTGCAACTCTGGGAGGCTTGGACTTGGGGCCGTCCTGCCTTGCCTGTCTTCCTCCTCCCACGCCCGTGGCCTCTTCACAGGCTCCCCGCCTTGAGCTCCTTCCCTTTTCCCAGGTGCTGCCCGTGGGCCGTCCCAGCCAGCAGCCACCTTCCTGTCTTTAAGTCCCTGCAGCCATTCTCAGAGCGAGTACCAAGTCCCCAGGTTCCCTCAGCACCCTGGCCTCCTCCTCTGAATAAATACGAAAGAATCGGGGTCTTTCCCAATGTTCTCAGAGAGGGCACAAGCCACACACAGCTCAGTGTTGTGAGTTCCAAGGGTCCCCTAGTTGCTGTGACAATCTGGGCAGTAGAGGAAGCTTCCAGAAGGAGCCCTCACACCTGTCCATTCCAGGTGTAGGATCATCCGCCTCCCCCACCATCCCGGGTGCCTCTTAAAAGTCAGACACACAGGGAACACTGGGGGATTTTAGTGGGTGGTATCTTAGCGGGAGAAATCTTGCCTGGCAAAGACCACCTTCTGCAGATCTGTTATTTTGCTGGCGGGAGGGGGCGGGAACGGAGGCAGGTGGCATCAGAGATGGTATTTCAAGCCCCCAGGAGGGGCCCGCTGCATCTGTGCAGATGAGAGAGGCCAGCCCAGCGGGGTCAGCAGGCAGCCTTCCGCTCCCACGGGCAGCAGGCCCACAGAAGCTCCCAGATGTGGGATGCTGACGAACAGCTGCTGCTTATGGTTTGGGGAAAAGACATAAACACAGCTCCATCTTTTTCATCTTGCAGAAGCTCCTTTCTCCTCAGCTCCTTCCATCTTCTTCCAAAGCCCCCGAGCCAGTGAAGCTGGTCTACAGATTCTGGCTCGGCAGGCCATGCTATCCCATGGACCTGGCCCTGCTGGGGTCTTGCCAAAAACTTATCAGTGAGGATGCAGGCATGTTGCCAGCGCCTGAGACCTTCTCTAATCTGCCCTGACCTCTGTGTCTGAGACCTCCCTGTTTTCAGGCAGGCTCATCCCCAGAGGCAAGGACTGGAAGATTCTGCCAGGACATTGGGAGAGGAGGGGTAGAGAGCTCCGCTCTGTGGTCCTCTGCAGGCCCTGGGGCCATCTGCCCCCGCAGTGGATAAACTTTCACAGCCTATCTTCCTGAGCCTCACTCCCCACAGTGACTCAGGGGGACTCCCCACTGTAATCGACAGAAACAGATTCCTGAGTAATGCCCCCCCCCCCCAAGATATCAGGTCCTATGTCCCAGAACCTATAAATGTCACCGAAAAAGGAGAGGGAACTTTTGCGGGTGTGACTACGTAAAGGGCCCGGACACAGAGCTCCTCCTGGATGACCCGGGTGGGCCCTATGTCCAATCACAAGGGTCAAGATAAGAGACACAGAGGAGGTGGCTGGGGACCAAGGAGGCAGAGACTGGAACGATGTGGTCACAAGCTAAGAAACGCTGGCGGCCACCAGGAGCTGGAGGGGGAGAGGAAATGGATTCTTGCCTAGAGCCTCTGGAGGGAGCGGGGTTCTGCCAACATGCTGATCGCAGCTCCGTGGGAGGGAGGTCCGACTTTTGGCTTCCAGGACTGCGTGAGAGGGAACTTCTGCTGTCTTAGGCCACCAAGGTTTTGGTGATTTCCTACAGCAGCCATAGGAAACTGATGTGCCAGGTCTCGGCCACCATATTCTGACTTATTCTGGGTAATTCAGATAATTCCAGATTCTCTGGAGATGAAGCTCTGGAATCCACTTTTTGGACCAGTGCCCAGATTCACATGGAAATGTGAAAAGCATCTAAGCCAGGGGTCCCTGAAGAGGTCTCACTGCCCTGACCCGTGTGGCTTAGTGGTTTGGGCGTTGTCCCACAAGGCGAAGGGTCACCGGTTTGATTCCCAGACAGGGCGCACGCCTGGGTTGCAGGCCAGGTCTCCAGCTGGGGGTGTGGGATCCACGTTTCTCTAGCACATCAATGTTTCTCTCCCTCCCTGCCTCTTTCTCTAAAAATAAATAAATCAAATCTTTAAAACAAAAAAATACAGGTGTTGTCACACCAGAAGTTATGGGACATAAAGCTCAGTCATATAAATGGCACTGTTACATGAATGGAATTCACAAAAAAGCAAATGCATTTTAGGGCATGTGCTCTGCAATTTTTACTGACATGGATAAGTCAGTTCTTTTCAATAAAACTTGTAACGATGACGGAAATGCTCTATGTCTGAGCTAATACAGCAGCCACATGAGGCTACTGAGCACTCAAGATACGGCTAGTGCCACAGAAAAACCTAATTTATTATTTGATTTCATTTCAATCCGTTTAAACTTTAGCCCAACTGCTACTGCATCAGGCAACACGGGCAGAGCCCATCCCTGCGAGGAGCACCTTCACCTTCACCGCAGTGTAGGGGCCAGGAGGGCAAGGCCTGGGGGTGTTTTATCAACTGCTACGCTCTCCGTTTCCAGTTGTGCAGAGCAGGTACTTGATAAACATTCGTCAAATGAGTGGATGGATAAAAGGCTATGTAAATGCCCCTCCCACAGAATTGTAGGAAGAAAGACACGGGAGATGAGGACCAGAACCTTGAAGTCCTCACCCCCCTCCGCTCTTCTCTTCACTCTTCACACCCACCCCTCCTAGCGGCACGCTGAGCTGCTTCTAGAAGCACGTGCCAGGCTGGACAACACGATGCATCATCGCTGGGGAGAGTGACCATCACCCGCCATCCCCTCTTACCCGCATATAGAATTCTCTGCCCTCATTCCCAGACTTGATCTGGAAAATGTAATAAGCCCCAGGGTAGCGTGTTGTCGCTTGCATCTGGAAGATGTCAGCAGGCACGGAACGTCCTGACACCACGTCCATGTCCCGGAACAAGATGGTGAAGGGCTGGTCTCTGCAGACAGGATTCTCGGCAGCACACAAGCAGCGGCTGTTGAGAAGGGAGATTGTGTGAGAACTTGGAAAGCCCTCTCGGGACACTGGTCATACCTGCTTCTCCCTTTTCAGCACTGAGAAGGAGGCCACCCCACTGTTTGTGTGCAAAGCTGTAACGGCAGACCCGCTCCGTGCCTGGCTGTCACTGAAACACTCTCCAGCATGCAATGGAGCTCTCTGCTTCCTAGAGAATGGCCTGCATTCTTGGCCAAGCAGCTATTCCTGTCACTGGAGTGTGAACCTCAGATGTCTGGCTTTGGAGTCCTGGGGCATTCTCTATACACCTCACATTTGTCGTGTACTTAGTAAAATGTGTCGCCAAGGTATTGTCCTTCACATTGCCAGCTGTACATGCTAAGAAATTTTATTTCTTATTTTTATAAAGAAAAAGGGAAATTTTCCTAGTGAAAACTTACATTAGATTGACAGGGCTTCGGTGGTCCTTTCTGTGCCCTGCCACGCTTAGCTTAGTCGGTGTGCAGCATAATTTAATCTTTTCAAGAGCTTAGAATTCCCTCTAAGACACAAAATCAAGAACTTCCAGGAAAAATGGTGGCATAGATAAACAGGGTTTGCCTCCTCCTTGCACAACCACATCAAAATTACAACTAAAATACAGAACCACCATCATAAATGGAGTTGAATGGAAGTTCAACAACTATGGAATTAAAGAAACTGCATCCATCCAGACTGGCAGGAGGGGCACAGACTTGGAAGAGATTGGTCCCACATCCACATGTGGTGGATAAAAATTCAGGAAGGAAATCTGGGGAGCAAAGAGTCCTAGCCCCACACCAGGCCTCCCAAGCCCAAGGATCCAGGGCCAGGAAGATAAGTCCCCATAACTTCTGGCTACAAAAACCAGCAGGGATGGAGTCAGTGGAAGAAACTTCTGGAGTCCCAAGCAGTTCCCCTTAAAGAACCAACACATGGACTCCCTCAGACTCACTCCTGCTGAGCTCCAGCACCAGGGTAGCAGCTTAAAAAGCACCAGTGACATACAGGGAGGAACTAAAGTGTTTGGCATCAAGGCAAGAGCTGAGGGACAGCTTTCTCCCAGACAGAAAGGCAGACAGAGGCCACTGTCCCTTGTCTTAACACTCCCCGAACAGAGCCGCAGAGCTGACAGGCGGATACCATATCTGAGACTCCATCAACCTGGCTACCACTGTTTGCCCCACCCTGGAGATCCTCTGAGACTCCACCCCACCCAAATTACCCATTTGGGGCCCACTAAGCTGTCAAATGTGACTTTTCCCTGTGAATGGCTGGTCTTGGCTCATGCTTCACAACTTCCTAAATCCTATTCAACAAGCAACAGCTGGTCTCAGTGAGCCTCTAGCCCCACTGCATCTTTCTAAGTGGCCCCAGGCCTGGCACTAGCAGCAGCCAGCCTAGGTTTATAGCTTGGCTTTGCCTGGGAATCTCCAAGCCCAGCACAAATAGCAGCCATCTCAGATTGCTTTATAGTTCATGGAGGGTGGCCCCAGAACACAGGTGGGGGCTGACCTTGGCCTGCACCACTCAGGAAACTCCAAAGTCTGCACACACAGTGGACAGCTACAGACTAAGTCAAAGCTACACAACTGATCCTCCATGGAGGGCAAAGGCAGACTCAGCTGGGTAAATCCCTCTCACTGACCTGTTCACAGCAATCAAGGCTCAGTGACAAGGGGACAGTGTACTCAGCCCACAAAAAGGACACACCTCAAGCACCCAGCTTGGGTGATACGGGAGGCTGTGCTACTAAACCCAACAGGACACCTACTATATTGGGCAACATTACCAAGACAGGGAGTCATAGCAGCTCTACCTAATACACAGAAACAAACATGTCGGGGGGGGGGGGGCAGTGCCAAAATGAGGAAACAAAAAAACATGGCCCAAATGAAAGAACAGATCAAAACTCCAGAAAAAGAGCCAAATAAAATGAAGATCAGCAATCTGTCAGATGCAGAGTTCAAAACACTGGTTATAAGGATGCTCAAGGAACTTAGTGAGGACCTCAACAGCATTAAAAAAAATCCAGTCAGAAATGAAGGATACATTAGTTGAAATAAAGAACAATTTACAAGAAAACAACAGTAGAGTGGATGAAACCAAGAATCAAAATAATGATTTGAAATATAAGGAAGCAAAAACAATCAGAACAACAAGCAGAAAAAAGAATTTAAAAAATGAGGATATTGTAAGCAGCCTCTCAGATATTCCAACATTTCAAGTATTCCAACATTTCCATCACAGGGGTCCCAGAAGAAGAGAAAGTGCAAGAAAGTAGAAATCTATTTGAAAAATCAATGAAAGAAAACTCCCCTAATTTGGTGGAGGAAATATACATGCAAGACCAGGAAGCACAGAGAGTCCCAAATGAGATGGATGCAAAGAGGCCCATTCCACCACACATCATAATTAAAGTGCTTAATATTAAAGATAAAGAAAGAATCTTAAAAGCAGCAAGAGAAAAGCAGTTAGTTACCTACAGGGGAGTTCCCATAAGACTGTCAGATGATTTCTCAAAAGAAACATTGCAGGCTAGAAGGGATTGGCAAGAAATATTCAAAGGCATGAAAAGCAGGGACCTACAGCCAAGATTGCTTCACCCAGCAAAGCTATCACTTAGAATCAAAGGGCAATTAAAGAGGTTCCCAGATAAGAAAAAACTAAAGTAGTTCATCATCATCAAAGCATTATTATTTGAAATGTTAAAGGGGCTTATTTAAGAAAAAGATCAAAACTATGAATAATAAAATGGCAAAAAATACAAATCTATCAACAATTGAATCCAAAAAGCAAACAAGAAGAACAGAGACAGAATCACGGAAACGGAGAGGATTTTGATGTTTGCCAGATGGGAGGAGGGTGTGGGGGAAAGGGTGAAGAGGTGAGGGTATTAAGGAGTACAAAAGGTCAGTTACAGAATAGCCATGGGGGTGTACAGTACAGTATGGGAAATGGAGTAGCCAAAGAATTATATGCATGACCCATGGACATGAACAAAGGTGGAGGCATTGCCTGGGGGAGTCAGGGTGCTGTGGGGAGGGGGGCAAAGGCAGGAAATAGAGACAACTGTAATAGCATAATCAATACATTATGCTATTTTTAAAAAGACATAACCTTAAGACACGTTGTAATTGTAATGGTAAATAAGATCCTGACCTCACATAGTTTTACCTTCTACCAGGGGAGATAAATCATAAACACAAATGTCTCTAATCCAGAGCAGCGAATTTGGAGCACAAGGAGGAGCACCGTCATAACATAAAACCATTGATTCCTATGGAGCGCCTGTTGTAGACACCCCTTAACTGAGTCCTGACCACCTCCCATCTATGGCCTCACCCCTGAGACTCCGCTGGGGCTCAGCGTTCACAGCAGGATGAGGACACCTGTGGATATGAACCTTGGTGGCCAGAGTGAAAGGGAGCCTTGTCACGTGTCTGCCACTCTCCCCTAACTCCCAGTCTACTGAATACCTTCAAAACCTATTGGTTCTACTTCCAAAATACCGTCCAAATCCAGCCACTTCTGTCTGACCATCCCCACTGCCCCTGTACTGTCTCACCCAGACCCCTGTGATGGCCCCTAATGGGTCTCCCTCTCCAGCCCACTCCAGAGTACCCTTTGTCACCTAAATCAGATTATGTCTCGACCTGGCTCAAGGACGCCACAATTGCCACCCATTGTGAGATGAATGGAAACGAATTGCCCACTTTCACCTCGGAGACGCCCCTGGGCTCTGGCCTCTGTCAATGTCTCTAACCTCCCCTCGAGTCGCTGTCCACTTCTTCACAAGGCTGTAGCAACTCAGGCCCCTTCTACGCCCTGAAGACATCAAGGTCACTCCTGCCTTGCAGCCTGTGTACATGCCGCTCCTCTTGCACTTCAACTGTCTGTTACGTTAACCTGCACTCTCCTTCCCACACCAGCCCACGTGTCGTTTCCTCGGGAGGGCTCACAAGTTCCCAGCCTCGACCAGGTCCAACCTCACCTTCCGTTCTGTGGATTCTGTTCTCCCTGTTTGCAGCACCCCTCACAACCTATCGGACGCAGCTGTGTGTTCACTTGCGACAGCACGTTTAATGTCTCTCTCCTCCACGGCCATGAGAGCAGCGCCCACAGCACCCAGCCCAGTGTCTGGCGCATAACAGGAGCTCGACTACATGAATGTGGAAAACAATGTTTGAAGTTTTGTTCTTTAAGGCCGCATCAAAATTGCCAAGTCCAATGTGCCTGGTGCCAAATGGTCACATTAAAATGTCCCGTGTCACATAAAGAATGGTTTCCTAGAAGATGTGGGAGGAAGGAGTGATGGCCCCCAGCTGCAGAGGATCACAAACAGCTGCGGGAGGCGGCATGGGGCTGAGATCTGAAAGACGGGGCAGATCTGTCCGTGTGGCGATGACGGCAATGCCTTCCACAGGCAGGAAATGTGTGCACCAAAGCCGGGAGGCTGGACGCTCGAGGGCGTGTGCTGTGCGGGTTGGCAGGAGTACAGGACACCTGGACGAGGAAAGGGGCTGGGAGAGGTGGCTGGAGTCACTGAACATTTTCAGTGGCGTGCCAGGGACCTCGCCAGTAACGCCAGCTCAGTGCTTTGGGTCAAACCGGGACAATTTCCCGGCCATGGACAAGGGCAGCCTGGAGATGCCTAGAGCGAACTGGGAATGGAAGCCGGTGCGCACAGCCCAAAGCTCTGCTCTGCCTTGAAGGGTCCTGGAGCCAGAAATCAAAGAGCCAGTTCCAAAGGGCTGCTGGGCAGCACAGCTCTCAGCAAGGAGCAGAGGCGTCTCTGCAGGACCTGCCTGTTGCTGCTCTGTCTTCTGTTAGTTTTGGTCAGAGAGGGAAACACTGGTAAGCCACACATCCCCCTTGGGTGCTGCATTCCTAGAGGACACCGCGGGCATGTGCATTTCATCCCAGGGCTCAGGGCAGTCAGTGTGCCCCCAGTGGAGAGGAGGGCAGAGGGAGGACGCTCGTGTGTGTGTGTGTGTGTGTGTGTGTGTGTGTGTGTCCTGAGGAGGAGCCGAGGTGGTTAAGTGGAGAAGAAAAGAAGGAAAATGTGCTCCTAGTAGCCCACGCACAGAAAAACACTGTCCTAGTGCTTTTACTTTGGAGAGGTCTTCGATTTAATTCTACCCTCGGCTCTAATATTTGCCATCTGGTGGTTTAGTAAAATGTTGAACATGATGACATTGGAAATGATTAAAGCAAGGTAAGTACCCTCGAGTCCTGAGAACTTTCTGATACCATCTCCTGGCCCTCACTACTCACAGCACAGTCCAGAGACAGGGGCCGCCACCATTTCACCCGGCGCTCGCCAGAAAGCCAGGTTCTCGCGCCACCCGCTGGATCAGACCGACAAGACCACCATGTGGTCCCCATGCCCAGGACAGCTGGGCCTGGCTCTGAAAAGACCCCTGTATCCAGCACAACGTTATCAAAGGGAAAGGAGGTTTGTGAGCTCGGCCTCCCGTCCCGTTAGCCCTGGTAGGGTGCCCGACCTGCGGCCCCAGGGCCGCATGCAGCCCAGGATGGTTGTGTGGCCCAACACAACACTGTCAATTTACTTAAAACAGTATGAGATTTTTTTGTGTGATTCTGTGTCTCAATGTATTTAATGTGTGGCCTAAGACAACTCTTCCTCTTCCGGTGTGGCCCGGAGATACCAACGAGGTTGGACGACCCCTGGAGAATCTTCATATAGCTCTGGCGTGAGTGGGCCAGTGACCGAGAACCGTGTGTGTGTGGGGGTGGAGGGTGGCAGTAGCCCAGGCCCCCCAGCCCGCTGGCAGACGCTCTCTCCTTTATGCCACCCTGGCAGCCTCCTGACCAGGCCCCTCATGTACATCCCTGTTTCCCAAGGGGAAGCGATGACTTACTTATCACTGATCTGGATGTAAGGCTCCTCGCAGCGGATGGGATCAATGCACTTGAACCCCCCTTGCAAGTTGTAGCAAGTCTGACTCAGGGTGCACGTGTGGTTCCTGTGCTCGCACTCGTTGATGTCTGAAAGGCAGGGGGGACGAGAGGCTGAGGCAGGGCAGTACTTCCCAGGCGTTTGGCCCTGTGCCTGGGCTCCGGGTGAGCGCTGCCCACGACCCACCACAGAGCGGCCCTTTCCAACATGGCAGCCTCGGGCCCCACGTGGCTGCTGAGCACTAGGAAGGGGGCGAGTCCACAGTGGGACGTGCGGTGGGTGGAAAATACACATCCCATGGGACAACTTAGTGCAGAAGAGTGTAAACTATCTATTTATAATCCCTATATTGTGTACATGTGGGAATCATATTTTGGATATATCGCATGAAATAAAATATAATCTTAAATCTAATTGTACCTGTTCAAGTACAGAAAAAATTAAAGAAATTAAGAAGTAAAATTATTTTTACCTAAAAAGAATTACTCCTTTAACATGACTACTAGGAAATTTTAAATTGTACAGGGTCCGGAAGAAGTAATGCGTGCTGGAATGTGGTTGGTAGGGTAAGAATATGGGTGTAATAATTTATAGTTTTAATCTCAACATTTCATCTAAAATCTTACATGGTGTGCTTGTGTGTGACATTGTTATGTTACAGAATTACACGCTCACAATTTTGTAATAAAAGAGTTTGTGATTAAAAAACGGGGGCGTCATTTATGCTAGCCCCCTAGCTCACATGACATTCCTTCTGCTTGGTGCTGCTGTGGAGAATGCTTGCTTGGTGCAGGGTCAGGGCGGAGCACAGGGCTGGAGGCTGGGCCACGCAGTCCATCTGAACAAGACCCACCCCTTACACAGCCTGGGGTCCTGACCCTTTGAGGGACAGAGCAGTCAGCTGCGTGAGGTCTCCCTGGCACCCATTCTCTAGGAAGTCAGTAGGAAAAAAATGACCAGGGGCCTGCAGGGGCCGTGAGAAAGCCCGAGCCCCAGTGGGTCAGGCCACAGATGTCCTGGAGAGGGCAGGAGCAGTCCTCAGTGGCCTGCAGAGACCTGCCTGGGGAGGCAGCACCAGCCCTTCTGGAAGCCATCTCTCTGCAGACTTCACTTCTAGGAGTGAGAGTGGCCATGTCCTATCTGGGGCCAGAGGATGAATCACCGGGCAGGAAGGCCCTGGCTGCAGCACCTTGCCCAGAGCCTGCCGCTCTGGGGGCCACAGACAGCCACTCATGCTCTTACCATGTCACCTTCCCAAAACTGCACAGGACTCCCCAGGAGACAGCATCCTGAAGCAGCCCCACCTTACATCGCCCACAGCCAGAGTCCTCTGGACAGCCTTACCCTGGCAGCTGCGGTTGTCATCCAGCAGGATGTAGCCAGGGGGGCAGGAGCAGAAGTACGTGCCGGGCTGGTTCACACACTCGTGTTGGCAGAGGAACTCAGAGAAGCTGCATTCATCCATGTCTGGGGGTGACAAGTTACACTTGGTGTTTATAATCACAGACTACTTGGAGAACTTAGTGGCCATCTAATCCAGCTTCCACACCCTTCTGACTCATGTGAGAGTTTTACTGCTGAGAAGTTGCCAATTCATTTCTTGAATACTTCTGGAGATGGGGAGCTCACTACCTACGAGGAAGCCCACTGATATTTGGATAGCCCTAATTGTTAGAGAATTATGTCCTCAGGGAGGGAAAACCTATCTCCATCGGGCTCCCTACACCCTCCGCCTCTGGCTCTGCTACATTATCTAGTCATTGCTGATTCACTTTGCCCCATAGGTGAACCTACCCCCTGAGTCTGGAGGTGAGATTTGTTTGCCTGCTGCAGTTTTCTGGGTATAGACCTCATCCCCTGGATCCAAAAATCATTCACTGGTCCTGGTCTTCTGAATGAGCAACTTTACCAATCGTCCCAAGTTGAAAAACAATATTATTCCTAAAGTTACAACTAAAAGGGACACACCCAAAAGGCCAGGGGTGTCCGTTATATTTGGGTTGGCCCAAAAGTTTGTTTAGTTTCTCTGTATTACAGTTTTAGTAGTGCTTAGTTGTCTTTAACTTCATTCAAAACAATTTTGTTAGATTGTATTGCGACAGCTGTCATATCAGCATGCATTTAAAAAAACATTAAATTGGTAAATTTTTGTGCAGCCACATGAATATTAAAGATGGAAAAAAATAACACAACATTTTTGGCATGTTACACTTGATTATTTCAAGAAAGGTAAAAATGCCACTGAAACACAAAGAAAGATTTGTACAGTATATGGAGAATATGCTGTGACTAATCCAACATGTCAGAAATGGTTTGCAAAGTTTCTTGGTACTATTAACACTTTGGCCAAATAATTCTTTGCTGTGGGGCTGTCTTATGCATTGGAAGATGTTTAGCACCCTGGCCTCTACCTACTGGAAGCCAATAGTGGGAGATAGCTGACACACTCAAAATGTCCAAATCAATAAAGTTATTGGAAAAGGTGAAAAAATGTGTCTTTTATTTTATAGGAAAACTAAATAGACTTTCTGGCCAACCCAGTATTAAAACTTCATTACGTCCAGAAACCTCCGGGAATGAGAAATCTCTAAAGTGGCATGGGATGGGTGGAAACAGCGTCCCTCCACGGCCTGCCTGCCTCAGGAGGGCTCTGGGACCCGGGCACCTGGCGCTGGGCCACTGTCCGGCTGCAGAGGTGGGGACGGGACGGGGAGCCTCCGTGGCTGCTGATGCAGGAGCAGGCGCCACAGCAAAGCCAGCTCTTTATCACACTCGGAGTCTGGCAACAAAGCCCCCGTCTGAGCGTCATTCAGTAAACACGCCAAAGAAAACATGTTTTTGTTTCATTCGTCGTTTCCCGAAAACTTGCTTTCACTAGTTTCCCCAAGTGGCATGTCCTCGGATTGCTCTAACAGCCCACTGATGGCTGGAGTCACCCAGGGGGGGCGTCAGCAGAGGAAGAGGCTTCTCCGCCATCGGAGAACCCCGGTCACACGCCGATGCTGCTCACATCCAAGGAGGAAAAACTCCTCCCAGGCTCTCCGGGGATCTTCAGGAGATGGGTCGTGGCCAGCAGAACTGGGCTGCTGACTTGAAAGTTAAAGCATGCGTGGAGGGGTCTGCTCTGCTGCACCCCCTCCCCCACACCCCTGGGAGACTGAGGAGCCCGTGCCTCTGGCCCCAGCCCATCAGAACAAAGAGGGGCCTCACTCTCCGCGGATCACATACATGTCATGCTTGCAGGGCACCTTCTATTTCTATTGCTTGGCACTGCTGTGGAGAACTCTCGCTTGGTGTGGGGTCAGGTGGGTCCGAGGAGGCTGAAAATGGGTCAGTTTGCAGACTCCTCCCTGTCGTCAGTAGGAGCAGTGTGAACCTGGGCCCTTCCCCAGACTCGGTAGGAGCCAAGCACCGAGTTAACTGCTCTGCCTGCCTCATCTGATTTGATTCTCGCCTCAGCCCTCGGAAGGAGGCGCTATTAGGAGCCACATCTCACAGAGAAGAAATTGAGGCTTAAGAAAGTGCGGTAAATTGTGAATTCGCAGGTAATGGGTAACCAGTAAAGATGGAATTTGAACCCGGCCAGCCTCCAGATCCTACGCTTCTCAATGCAATGCCGTGATGTCTCCCTGAGCCCATCACGTTCAGGACTCAAAATGGGAGCATCTGGGGGGTCCTGAGGTTGGGGGACTGCCCAGAGCAGGGTGAGCTCCTGTGCAGGCAGAGATGGCAGCACCCGCCCACCTCCCACTGGGCAGGAAGGGGCCCTACACTCACACCCAGTTTGTCTCAGGGTCTGCAGCCCCAGGCCAGAGAGCCAAAATATGGGGTTGGCCAAAAAGCTTGTCTAGTTTTTTCCTGACCCTGGCTCTAGTGCTGCTTAGTTGTCTTTAACGTCATCCAAAACACTTTTGTTAGATTGCACTGTGACAGCTGTTGTATCAGCAGGCATTTCAAAAAACGTGACAAAGTTGGCGAATTTTTAAAAAATTAGCAAATTTTAAAAAAATTGGTGAATTTTTGTGCAGCCATATTAATATTGAAGATGGAAGAAAGTAGTGTTTTTGGTGTATTAGCCTTTATTATTTCAAGAGAGGTAAAAACACAACTGAAACACAAAGAAAGATTTCTGTAGTGAACGGAGGAGGTGCTATGACTGATCAAATGAGTCAAAAGTGGTTTCCAAAGTTTCTTGGTACCACTGACATTTTAGCCAAATAATCCTTTGCTGTGGGGCTGTCTTATGCACGGGAAGGTGTTTAGCAGCACCCCTGGCCTCTACCCACTAGAAGCCAATAGTGGGAGACAGCCGACATACTCAAAATATCCAAGTCAGTAAATTTATTAGTGAAAATGAAATATGTGTCTTTTCTTTTACAGAAAAAACTAATAGCCCTGGCTGGTGTGGCTCAGTGGATTGAGTGCTGGCCGGTGAAACAAAAGGTCACCAGTTCGATTCCCAGTCAGGGCACATGCCTGGGTTGCAGGCCAGGTCCCCTGCAGGGGACATGTGAGAGGCAACCACACATGGATGTTTCTCCTTCTGTCTTTTTCCCTCCCTTCCCATCGCTCTAAAAATAAGTAAATAAAATCTTAAAAAAAAAAAAAACTAAACAGACATTTTGGCCAACCCAATGTAATATAAGCCTAGTTTCCGGCCGGGAGCTCACATGAGGCCATTTTCATTCATCCACGTGAGAACCCACCGTGGTTTCTGGGATAAGCTCAGCTTCGCAAATCCCTGAGGGACGGGGGACACAGTGAGGGAGGGTCCAGGCTGCACGGGGGAGCCACACTGGCCGTGATAGCAGAGGGTAACATTTCCTGGGGAAAATGACCAGCAGAGAAAGGGGCTGCGCAGGAGGGAAGAGGGAACGAACTCTCTCGCTGCCACACTGCTGCCCGAGGCCAGCCCTGAAGCCCCCGGTGTCCAGGAGTCAAGGTCACTCTGAGTTTAAGGAACGTGGAGGAGGTAGCCACGTTGGGGACAAGAAATCCGCCGAAAACGCTTGCCAAACCACCGAGGACGTGAAAACTGCTCGAAAAGCTAGAGGCCTCTTCCACCTACATACACTCAGAGAAAGTACGTGACCTTGTAATGACACTCAGGTACGCCTATGTCGCTTTACCTGTGTGACCGCCCTTCGGGGGCACACGTTTGTTGTTAATGAACGAGAGAACTGAGCCTTAGGAAGTGAGCCGGCCAGGGAAAGCACAAGACGGGAGAGCCAGGAATCGAACTCCGGCTCCAGAGCCACTCCACCGGGTGCTCGGGGAACCTCTGGGGATGCGCTGGGAATTTTGGAGAAGCAGACGGGCCCCTCCCCAACCAAACGTCCCACCCCCTCGTTCCTGAGCCCAGATTCCCCAAAGAGCGCCAAGCGGGGCGCTGGAATCCAGGAAGAAAGCGGCTTTTCATGCCTGTGGGTATTTTATTTCGGTTTCTGGGACTGACGTTGAATGGGTGTAAGACTCCCCATCTCTGCTCCCTCGCTGCTCCGGCTTTCCTGGCCCCCAGGAGAGGTGCCCATTTGTTTCAGGGAAACCCTGTCCCCAGAGCACTGCTGTCCTCTCACACAGCCCCATTCACGACAGGGCTAGTTTCTGTCACAGTGAGACCCAGGATTAGGAAACTTTCCATTCCACAAGACAAAAAGATCGTCACACCCGAGGGCATGGCCCACTTACTCTGAAAAGCACAACGGAGCATTATTAATTTGGACCGTGTTCATTTACCACTGACTGCTGATAATGCCAAAAGTGGACGGGTTAGAGCTCAACTCAACATTTACCAAAAAAACAAAACAAAACAAACCAAAAACAGAGAAAAAGGGGGGAAAAAAAGAAGAAAATGAAAGCAGTATGCTTGGCTCTATGCAGGATACTAATAAATATGAGGGAGAGGCTGTCCCTGTTTTTTAAGGAGCTTACAAGTTTCTTATTACACGGGTTAATAAGAAAATTATAACAGAATTTACAATCTAGCATGAGCAGACAGTCAGCTTCCTGGGCTTGAAAGGCATTTATAAAAGGTCGGCTGAGCCATCAGGTCTGTGTTCTCACAACGAGTTAAGATTTCATTGGTTCACTCTTCAGTCCTTCACTCATTGATCTCAAAACTGCTTACTGCATGCTCACCACGTGCCTGGGGCTGAGCACCGAGTATTGCAGAGATTTTAGAAGTTCACCGAGTGTTTGCGCTTCCATGCCTGACCTCGTTCACCCCACACCCACCTCTCCCAACCCGGCCCTGTGAGGTGAGCTGTCAGACCAGGGCCGCTGCCTCTGCCAGCACTGTCTCCGCAGTCCCCAGGACGCGAGTCAGTGTGGATGAGGACAGACGACCCACACCAGTTGGGTGCCTTCTTCCCTCCTTCGCCCCCATCTCGGACCCTCAAAGGTAGCTCCATGGGTTTTTGCATTTGGGCTCAAATGACAAGGAAGGTGGGCCCCACTCCACCTTTCAAGCACTGACTCATCTCTGTTTTGTGTGGTTGTGACCCCATTGCACCGGGAAATGTTCCAAACTGCAGAGGCTTCTGGGAAACGAGAGGAAACACCTGTGAAGAACGCCATTGACCCCCCGCCCGCCACCCCTGGGTCCCCAGTGCAGGTGGAAATCTCCGATGCTAAATAAAGATCATTACCACTGCAGCGGACTCCGTCATCCTCAAGTTCATATCCTGGGTCACAGCGGCAGATGAAGGAGCCGTAGGTGTTGACGCAGGTTTGCACACAGGGGTTCTCGGTGGCACACTCATTCACATCTGTGGAAAGCCAAAGCCACAGACCATCACTGACCATTCCCACAACAAAACATCTGCTGTAACGAGGCAGATGAGAAAATGTACCAGCAACAATATCTGTGGCTGGGGGACCAGACCCACAAGCACACCAACCTCTACCTGGGACCTAGCAGACCGAGACGTCAGCCCCAAATGTGTTCACTGAAGAATCAGGGGCTCCACCCACATGTCCCTCTGGAGTCAAGAAGTGGGCAGGGTAGAAGTGACATGTATACATGTCATGAACATATATGCACATACACATGTACACCCTCCTAGGAAGTCCACTCTCCGAGGTCACCAACAGGACTTTCTAGCCAATATCTGCTCTTACCCGTCACCTACCACATTCCATTCCCAATGAACTCTCTCTTCACTGCCATTGACTTTGATATTCAGGTAAACAAATATATAACTGTGACAATTCTAAGAATGTCCCGACCCAATTCATGTTGAAGCTCTAATTTCTCGTGTTCCAGAATTTGGAGGCTGGCACTTTTGGAAGTAATTAAGCATAAGTGAGGTCCTAGCGTGGGGACATCCCAATGGGATTAGTGCCCTTCTAAAAAGAGACACAGAGAGCCTGCTCTTGCTCTTTCAGCCATGTGAGGATTCAGAGAGACACGGGCCGTCCACAAGCCAAGAAGAGAGCCCTCCCAAGTGCCCGGCCATGCTGGCTCCCTGACCTTGGACTTCTGGCCTCTAGAACCGTTAGAAAATACATTTCTGTTGTTTAAGTCCCCAGTTTAAGACATTTTGTCAGGGCAGCCCAAGCTAAGACAATTATGCATAAATAACACCACTGATAATAATAGGACCCCCACAGGACCACGGCCCCGTGTTATAAGGTAGTTGGCTAAGGAGAGGACTGCAACGGGGCATAAGAAACTGTTAGAAAGGATGGAATATTCGTCATCTGAGAGTGGTGATGCTTTTGTGGGATATGGACATGCCAGCGTTCATGGTATCACGTACCTTTAACAATGCAGTTCATTGTATGCCAATTACACATCAGCAAGGTGCTCACACTTGTTTTAAGGTTGACAGATGTGTCCAAATATAACAAGGGCACAGATGGAACTGGGACATGAGTTGGGGTCTTTCTGTAGAACCCAAGACTCTTTCTGCACAGCTCCTGAAGGTGGCGGGGCCGGAGGGTGGAGGCGGGCCCTCCTACGCCGTAGGGTGGAGCAGGCTGACCAGCTCCAAGCACACTCTCTCCGTGTTCCTTATGCCAGTGACCCCAGTTCCCGCTGAGAGAGTTTCTATCCTCTTCACAAGTCCCAGTAAAGCTCTTCAGACTCTGAATAGAGACTAGAGTGTTTTCAGAATTAAACACCTTCACAGGGAGCAGCTTGAGAAGCTTTTCTCAAGGTGAAGGGCTAATCCCATGCCCACATACTTCCTGCTTCCTGGCACTTGTACAGCAATATGGAGAAAGAAAAATAATGGCCAGCCATGCAGGGAGGGTCTGGCGAGATACCGGTCTCCGCCGGTGCCCACGGGAGCTTGGAGGCCTGCGCCTGGGAGGCGGGGGAGAGGCTGCTGCGCCAGGCCGCAGAGCACAGGCTCGGGCAGAATGGCCTGGCCAGCACGGGGCTGGCGTGCTCGGCTTCCGGCCAGACGCCGGTCACACAGAGATGAATGAGCGTGAGTCCCACACTCTCTCAGCTCCCAGATGTTTCTGCCCAGCATGAGGACCCAAAGCCGTGGTCCCCAACCTTGTTGACACCAGGGACTGGTTTCATGAAAGACAAGTTTTCCAAGGACCAGGGGTGGGGGGATGGTTTCGGGATGATTCCAGCGCCTACGTTCAAGTTCACCTCCTGCCGTGTGGCCCAGTTCCTAACAGGCCCAGACCAGTACCCGTCCGTAGCCAGGAGGTTGGGGACCCCTGACCCAAAGGATTCTGCCCCCAGGAGCGCTGGCTGCCCTTCCCTGCCAGCCCTGGGATCCACACACACCCAAATGTCCTTCTGAGTCCCGGGGAGCAGCCCGCACCCCACTCCCACTTGCTGGACAGGAAGGCGAAGGCGCTCGGATCTGCTCCCCCCTCTGCCACCACCTGGCTGAAGGACTCTGGCCAAATTGTTTAACCTTTTTGCTCCTCGATTTCCTCATCTGTGAGCAGAGCCACAAACACCTGCCCTGCCTACCCCACAAGGCCATTGTCAGCATTCAGTGAGACGAACAGATGTGACAAGCCTGGAAGAGTGCAAAGCACACGCTTCCTCGCACGAGGTGCTAGAATTACGAAAGCTCCACAGAGTTGGGAACAGTCCATGTCACCAGCGGGCCCCGCTGATGCAACCTCCTGGTGGCCAAGTGCCCGTGCGGCCTGGGTGCTCTGCCCGCTGCTGGACTTGGCACTGCCAGGTGCATTGTCTGCTCCTCGTCACAGGCCTGTCCCTGAGAGGCCTCAAGGACACATGGTACTTTTGGCTCTGCCGTGCCTGGCTGTGCCTCAGGAGGTGTCGGGTGCACCGAGCCAGCCTCTGGGGGGGGACCTGGGCTGGCACATCTAGCCCCCGGCCTCGGCCCAGCGAAGCCTGGTCGGTCCTAAGCTGCTTATACCGGGAGCAGCGAGGGAGCCAGGCGCCCACTCGCCCACTTCTACTCCAATGAAGGGGCGGGGATGGCCCTGCTCTATCAGCTCCTTCAATCTCCCAGCCCTGGCTTCACTCTCAGAAGAAAATGACCTCTCCTGGTGAGAGGAACACAATCAAGACTTCTTGGAACAATCCGCAGAACCAGCTTTGGAGGAGAGACTTCCAAAGAACCCAGGATCAAACTCCTTAACGCTGATGCCTTCCTGTTTACCCAGTGATTTCCATACGATTAAACTAATGGAGACATAATATCCTCCAAGTAGCTGGCCAGGAGCCTGCCAGCCAGACCTCGGATGGGGTGACAAGGAAATGGGCCCCGCAAAGCCTGGTGGCAGGCTCCAGACAAAGACCTCATTCTGAGCCCCTGGCACTGCCTCCCCCCTGGACGCAGCAGCTGCCAGGGGCTGGAGGCCCGGCTGGAGGCTGGGGGCAGGAGCCAGCGGCTGGGAGGGACTCGCGCTAATTCCTCGAGTCTAAAGTCGCCCATTCATTTCCTGAGCAGAAGAAACCTGCAGAGGGAAACTACAATAAGCACGTAGCTTGTTTGTCTTCCTTATCAGTGTTTGGAGAGATCATGTGAAAACCAGAAAACGCCTTGGCTCCATTCTGTTTCTGTGGGGAATGCTGAGCAGTAGGGAAGTTGCCGTTGCCACCTGACTCTTTGCTAAGGCAGCAGGCCCTCCTGGCACAGGCCCAAGGGAAAAAGCTGCAGTGATTGCCCCCAACACCCCTGCCAAGAGCGTACATGCTTATTTTGTGACTCATCCAGGGTCAGGAGTTCTTTCTGACCGCTCCACTTTGGCCCCAGGAATTGAATTTAGGCGACAGGATATGCAAGAATGTTTCTAAGTGGTCAAGAAAGCCAGCAGGACTCCTCCCGGGTTGCAGGGCGAAGCTAATGCACAGGGCCCTGAGCTCCCGGAGGATGACAACGCTCCTCATCTCAGCAGTGCCCAGCGTACCTTTTGACATGGGTCAGATAACCTCTGTTCAGGACACAGAGGGATGAGCAGGCACAGACGACCAGCAGAAAGAAAGCCCTTTAACGACAGCACTTCCCACCAGCACAGACTGTCAGACTGTGGATGAGACAGCATGTTCAAGTCACCGTTCGGGTCACGTACCTTGGCAAGACCTTCCGTCCTCGTTGAGGGTAAACCCAGGGTTGCATGTACAGGAGTAGGAGCCAGGGACATTCGCGCACAGCTGCTGGCAATAGCCATAGCGACACTCGTCGATGTCTGGCAACAGAGACGCGCACAGGTGAGACCCTCCTTCTCAACCACCAACGCCGCCCCCGGCATCCTTGTTGCCCATCCCTTCTGGAGAGAGATCACGAAGGGAAGCCCAGGGAACCAGCGTGAAGACAGTGCCTGCTGAGTGTCAGCGATCGTGATATCCTCTGGATTGCAAGGCTCAATATCCCTGTAACCCTCCTCGGACCACCTCAGTCCTGTGAACACCTGAACCTGTCTTGAAAGTTGTAGAGGAAATTTCTGCTTAGAGCGAGCAGGGTTTTTATCCACGTTAAGAGCCAACTCTAAGATTCTATGGAAATGTTTCATTGCCCTGTGAAGGGACGAGGCAGCGCAAAGTGTAAGAGGAACCTGTAGCCTCACTCCACCAGGCTCCTCGCCAGCCCCATCAACAGTGAACGTGTCCACGAGTCAGGAACAAGGGCAAGGTAGGTGAGGATGAGCTGGTAGCACTATGGTCTAGGGTAACACAAGGTCTAGGGTAACACAGTAACACAAGGACTCCGGAGCTCCCTGGGTCTCCAACTTGCACCAGAGCAGACACAGAACTCCGGGTAAACACACCTCTTCCAAGCCATGGCTGGCCTTTGCTGAGCGGGCAGCTCTGTGAGTGAATGGGTCACAGCTGAGTGGCCAATGCGACCTCCCTGCTGGCAGGTACCCGTCAGTGGGGAGCCTGATGGCCCCGGGAAAGCTCTTCCCCAATGCCCAGGGTGATGGGCTGATGGACTAGAACATTCACTGCTGGAGGCTGACATGTCCTGAATGAAGTGTACGGGTGGAGACAGAGTCCTCACCTATACAAGCACCTGCTGTCACCAACCGATGTGACTGGAGCTGTAACTGGTTCATATTGTGTCCCCACTGCCCCCTACACTAACCACATCCCCTCCCTGGTACCCTAGTTCCTTTGGAACCAGGGTCCACCCAGGGCTCTGGACGCTGGTTCAGAACCTCCGTCTCTGTGCCTAGTTTCTACCATCTGCTGCCAGAAGGGACCCCCCCACCCTACCTGCTTTCCAACCTTCGTCCCACCCTTGGGGTTCTGTTTTGTCTCTGAGTCCCATCTGCTTCTAACCTGGCCCACTCCACTGCCCACCGAGAGCTTTGCAGCTCCTGCTTAGAAGGCACATTGGCCTGTGCAGGTGCCGGCCAACCTCTCTCCTGGGTGCAGTTTCCTTGGACACGTCGCCAAGGACAGGGAGGCGGCAGGGAAAAGAGGGGACATCCCGGGGTACTCTGGAGGAAAGGTAGTCCTGCGCCCGTTCTTTTTCTCCAAAAGCAATGCCTCCAAAGGTGCGTGGGGGCAGGGGTGGGGTGGATGGCTACGGAACTTGGGATTTAAAAGAGAAAGACAAGTTTGGCCAGAGGATGGCATGAGTTCAGCCACAATGAGTAAAGGCCTTCACTTCGGATCTGGGTCATCGGCAGGCCGTATGTGTGGTACCACATTAGGCCTCCAGGAGCATCCCTCCCGGAGCTTCCCGCTTACCCAGAGGGTGAATGTAGCCACCCTCTCAGGTAGGCACAGGACTGTCCTGGGGGCTGGCCCTCCTCGGATGGCGAGGGCTTCCCACTGTATAAGCAATCAATCCAGCCTGTGTGTTCCTGTGAGCCTCTCTTGCGCCCCCTTGTGGTGGACAAAAACTGGACAGAAACAAGAGAGATGTTACACCGAATTCACCTTGTCCAAAACGTCCTTCTTCTTTGAGGGTCAGTTTCCAGCTCTATGAAAGTTGAATGACATAATATCTAATACCCCTTCCAGTTATGAAATTCTGCATATTAAGTTCCCGTACAAATAACTCACTCACAATGATCTGCTTATGTTCAAAGCCCTGGCATCAGATTTTCCATAATAGCTGAGATTGGTTAAGATGCCCATGTGCAGCCAGCTCTCGGGGGCACGCCTGGGAAGCACAGCCAAGCCAAGCCTCGGCGGGCTTATCAGGCCCCGAGGAGGCCGCAGACAGGGCCCGAGAGCCGGCCCCAATTCAGTCTCGGGCAGGAGAGACTTGGACAAAAGAACCTTCTTTTTTGGTTTCCATGATGCAGTCGGGGTTTGTTACTCAGCTCCTTCCGCACTGACGTTCAGGCAACAGAAGAGTGACTTAGAGAATTTCAACGGCAGGGCTTCTCCAAGAACACAGTATAGAAATCAGACCCCAGGAGAAGAAACGAAACCGACAGCCCGAGACTGCTATGAATTCATTCGCTTGGCTGGACCAAAAACTAGAGGGAAAGAAAGGAAAACAGCCCTCTAGTAAAAATAAACAGAGAGATCATATAGCAGATGCCAACTGCAAGAAACAGAATTCTCGATTGGGGATGACTGACTGTTTCACAGTAAAGGAAAGACCAGCTCTCGGGGTGGGTGTGGCGTCGGATCCACTGGGGTGCTGGGAGGAGACGGTGTGAGCTCGGAATCCACTGATCCACGCTGGAGACGGAAGCTTTTCTGGGACTTCACCAACTGATCTCTGCTCTCGGCATGATCTCTAACTCGGACAGGGTAACTCTCACCTCTCCCATTTCCTGCCTTGGATATCAGCTTTCAGAAGGAGAGGAGACAGCGTAGCTAAAAATCAAACGGGAGCTTAAAAAATGCATTCAGAAATTCTGATGGCCCTGGCTGGAGTGGTTCTGTGGTTGGAGCACTGTCCTGTAACCGAAGGGTTGTGGGTTCGATTCCCAGAAGGGGCACCTGAACATGTGACCCCCGGTCCAGACACCTACGATCCCCAGTCTCAGCACAGATCCCGGGCCTGGGTGCACACGCAGGCACCCAATCAATGCTTCTATTGCATCGATATTTCTCTCTCTCCCTTCCTCTCTCTCTAAAAAAAGCAATTTAAAAAATGTCCTCCCATGAGGATAAAACAAATTCTAATGAGGACATGACGGTGACGGTGACGACTGATTTGAAAGGGCGGTGATGCGTGACACACGGAAGCTCAACAGGCTTGTATGTCCCCGCCCCCTGCAAAGAAAGGCCCACTGCCTCAGGGACCCCCAGCCAGGCCCGCATTTCACACACCTCCCCCCCTCCGGCCACCGTCACCTCCAGGAGTCCCCGCGAGCCCCAGAGCGGTCACCTAAGCACTGGCCTTCCAGGAGCCAGTAGCCGTCGGTGCAGGAGCAGGTGTACCCGCCTTCGGTGTTGATGCAGATCTGCGTAGGGTTGCACTGGTGGGAGTCCGTCGCGCACTCGTCCACATCTGTAACGAGACGTATTTCCAGGAATGTCACCTACATCTACTCAGAGCCACCAAGGTGCCAGCTGCCTGCTTGTCTGCTGGCAGGCGGTGGATCGTGTCCCTGGGTTACAGCCAAGAAGACGCAGCACCTCCCTGCGGAGCGTCACTAGGAGACACTGGCCTTTTCTGAGGGGGCAGAGCTGGTCCACTCCCCAGAAACCCACAAAGGGAAATGGCCAAGAAGAGAACGCACATCCATAAGCTCTTTTCCGCCGCCCTATCCCATCATTTTCTGAAAGAAAGTCACCTGGATAATCACCATTACTCCATAGAGAAATGCATTTTGTTTAGGCTTATTCCTTCTGCTGATGAAATAGGGGTCTTTTATGCACCTACTGTGTGCACAGAGCTATGATACCTCTGAGACCTTAACAGAAGACAAAGAAATGTCCCCCGCCAAAGGAACCTTGTCATCGGGTCACTGGACTGGATCCCTCCACGGAAATCTTTGGGTCTGGGGTTCCGTCCCCTTCGAGAAGCTTCATGGAGCCCTCCAGCATTCCTTTCACCCCCACAGCTGATTTCTCCTGCCCTCTGCTACCGCCAGGCTTGCTTACACTGCTCCATGCCCACCGGCCTCCGCCTGGCAGCGAGGAGGTACTTCTGTCCAAGTCAGTCCCGTCTTAATGGGGCGCTTCAATGCCCAGAGACTGAGCTGCAGCAGAGTCCTACTTGTCAAGACGTCCAGTGCACACAGGCAGCACCAAAACGGTTCATTTACACCAGGGCGAACCCTTCTTTGCTGTGTCCCACACTGTATTCTAGGGACAACATGCAGCATTCTTCCACGGGACCTCCCGATACCCACTCTCATGTCCACCTAAAGCCCTGGGCCTGCCTGGCCTGACTCCAGCGTCCATCCCTGGCGTCTGTCCGCCCGAGCCTGTCTGCGCCTTTGGCTCCCACATCACTGCAGTCAGGGCTTGATCCCCTGCAGCTTCCTCCCCCCTCCCCCCCCAAACAGACATCCGCACAGTTGGAAACAACATGAAAAGCTCTGGGGAGTGTGCCCAACTCACTGTATTGGTTCTCACCGTCACCCTGTGCAGTGGGCGCGGGCGGGGACCCCACCTCACAGATGGGAACTTGGTCTGCCTGACTCCAGCCACGCTCTGTGTGGGAATGACAGTGGATGTGACCGCCGGAACCAAGCCGGTTTGTGAGGGAGCTGGCAGGCCTGGGAGAGGAGACCGGACTGAGTTTTGGGTGCCTTCTCCTGCCCTCCTGGAAAATTGTCTGCCGCTTGACATTGCATATTGCAGTGCAGTGGGGGTGGGGGCACCCACAGCCCCCGTGTGTAAGCGCCCTGAGAACAAGGGTCTTCTGCAACACAGGCCTTCTCAGTTGTGCACACAGGAAGTGAGCATAGCTGGCTTGGTGAAATGTTGGCCAGGTGGGCAGTGGTCTCTCGGGTTCAAGTGACGCCAGCACAACGCACTACCCACCTGCTGCAAGTCAAACACCAACGACATGCATAGATTCCCACCCCCCAAAAAACCATGTGTCTGGGCATCGCGTGGAGCCAGCCTCCGTCCAAACATGGACCGACTCCAAGAACCTGGTTCCAAGGTGGCGGCAGCCCCACTCCGCCCGACACGTTGACTATGCAAGGCCTCGGTGGTGGCAAAGCCCCAGCCCGGCTGCCAGAGCTCCCGCCTCTCCCTCGGCCTTCCTCCCTCCCCCTCCCCCCACCCCACCCGCCCTCCCAGTGGAGCCTCCCAGGGGAACCACGGATAAGGCTTGGCCGGCAGCCGCGCCCGCTCCAGCCCATGTGGCAGCCTGGGATAATAAATAATGCCACTATCGGCGGGAGCATATTTACATTTTTCCAGAGGGGCGTGATGGATGGCAATTGTACCCTGGGAACAACGTTGCCTCAGGAATTTGTGCTCTTTTTCCTGCCTTGAGGGGAGTGCAGGGCGAGAGAGACCCAGGGCGAGAAGAGCTGTGGCAGAGCCTCGGTGACAGCGAGCTCCCAAGGCTCCGTCTGGGTGACCTGCACGCACACCATGTGCCCACAGGCCGGAGCAGAAGGCCCAACACGTGTGGGCCCTGAGACTGGGCTGAGCAGTGCAGGCGGGGCCCAAGTGTGCATGTGTGTGTGTGCACACATCACAGGCACACGCAAAACAGTCAAACCCAGACACAAAATCTTTAAAGTTCATTTTTTTAAAAGCCCCACCACTTTTACAGAGTTAAAGAATGAGCTCGGTTTACTGCATTTCTGCTGATGTACATTCAAAACCAAGTAAATTTGCGACTTTTACTATCTGATTGAATGGATTGTCAATCTAAATGTATTTGGAGAAGGAACTGCTTGGTGAAGGAATGAACAGACACGTGAATACCAAGCATTACTGCCTCTGCACCCCAGGCGAGCTGTTCCCAGCCGACCTGCTAATGAGGCTGCCCCAGTGTGTGGACTCTAAAAGCAACCCGACCCACCAAAAACCGCGGCCAGCCGACACAGTGGGCGGCACTGCCGCTGGACCCGCTCACGGTAGGGGCTCGACAAGGGGTGAGGAGACCCATCCCACATCCCAGCTCACAGCTGAATCGCTTACATTAAATACATTTGACTTAAATAACAGAAGGAAAAATACATCGACTCCCTCCAAGGACATTCTTTGGCAACGCGTGCTTTTCTGCATCAGCGGAAAAGTACCAGTCACAGCCACCTGAGCGAGCGCCACCACCCTCGATGCAGACTGTGCCTGCAATTTCCTTCCCTTCTGTGTGACATTTAGGAAGCGTCTCCTGAGAGGACAGAGTGCCGCGTTCATTTAGCCATGTGTTCACTCATCCTCTCATTCATCCTTCATGCCCTGCAGTGGCTCTGTGCGTGTGTGTGTGTGTGTCCTCTCCAACCTCAGGTCACCTGGGAGCGCTGGCAGCGAGCACACGTGCTGCATCTGCTCCGATCCCCAGAGCAGACATTACTGACAGTCCTCTGCCAGCTCCCTGTCCACCCCTGCCCCTCCTGGGGCTGCAGCTGGAGCAGCTGCCTGGGCACTGGGAGGATGGCAGGACCAGCAGCCATGGCTCCTCCCCACCCAGATGAGGCAACGCCCACTGCTGTCATGGCAACCAGAGGACAGGGCTTCTCACAGACTCCTCCAGAATGAGAGCCCAGCACTGTGCCACCTGGGGAGGAATTGCCCTGCATGTGGGGCAGCGCGGCCCTGTGGGCCCACCAGCCCAGTCCAAGCTGCTGCCCTTTCCTGCCGACGCCCCTTCAGTGAGAACATGCACAGTCCAAGACAACTGTGGACGCAGGACAGTCAGCAAAACCAGTCAACATCATCCTCAACGGCCCCCAGGAGGCCACAGGCAGCAGTGGCTCCCAGGTCTCATGTTAGGGACACCCCTGTAGGGGTCTCACACCCCTGGCTGGGTCTCATATCTCCAGCCTGATGGAAGCTTCAGGTGGACAGATGTATGACACAGGCTGACGTCCTCCAAGTCCAAGACTCATGGTTCCCTCATGCCCACAGGGAGAACATGCTCCCAGCACCAAAGAGCTGAGCCTCCCCAGAAAGGGCTAGTGGGTAAAAAATAAAAATAAAACAAGAACCCAGGCAGAGCTGGGTGTGTGGACAGGTTCCTGTACGTGATCACCGATGGTTACTGAGCAAGTTCGTTGCCCTTTTGGACCCTCGGGTGTTGTGAAGGGTAAAGCTGCCAGCCTGCCTTGGAGGCTGCATGGGGTGTTCCCAACCGAACATACCCACAGGCCCCCTCACCACTGAGGGGGTGGGGGAGGTGCCCCGCAGCGCCACTCCCGGGCCCCGGTGCAGTGCAGCGCTGCTTCCAGCATCTGGGACAGACCCGGGCAGCTTGGCTCCTGTCTCCTGGCTCCTGCCTCCTGCGGGCTCTGTTCTGGAACTCACCACAGACACCAAGGTGACAGACCTGGGGCTGGAAGGCATGGCTCGTTGCAAGGTTCAGCCAGAGCCAGAGCCAGAGCCTGCTCCCCCCGGGCCCCGGACACGCGCCAGCAGACTGGGACGAGAGGCGAGAGGCACACGAAGGCAGCAGCATTCCTGCACGGCCTCGGCTCCCCCGCACGTTGGCCTCTCCGGGCCCATCTGTGGCTCCGTCGTGGTAGACATCCGAAAGCCTAAGCGGGTGCGCATCCCACTGGATGCCACAGCCAAGGAGGACTGGCCTCCGCACGCCCCGTGATTCCTCCCTCTTCCTGCATGTCCTCTTCCCCCGCACTGTGCACTCGAAGGGCTGGCTCCGTGAGCCTGTGCCCACAGCCTCAGCAGAAGGTCTCTGCTCTTGCGTGAGCACAGCCATCGGCCAACAGAAGACACTCCCACTGGGTGACACTGGGTGACACCGGGAGACACTGTCCCGAAGCATCTGGACCACCACGCCTGTCCAAAGGCCCCCACTAGTCCTTTTTTAGACACGGCAAAATCATTTCCTTGGTAGTAAATTTTTACCCGGTGAAACAACATGTTTTCCCAGCCTGTTTTTGCTCCTTCCTCGCTCAAGCTCATGGGGCTTGATAAGAAAGAAGAAAATAACAATGGCACATTCCTGCGTCTCCGACCGAAGCCAGCCTCGGGCCTGCTGCTGAGCTGGGCCGGTGCCATTTTTCAGGGAGACGAGCCCAGCCAAGGCTGGAAGCTCTGCGGGGCCTACTTCCCAAACACCTGCTTAATTAAAGACCTCAGCGTTTGAGAACTCGCTCGCTGGATTCCCAGGACATCTGCTCTCCGTGTGTCTGTGGGACCCGGGCGGTCGTGAGGATCCAGCTCTTTCTGTGTTCACGGCATGCTTCCTCACGCTCGACGTTGAGCCTCAGATACGAGGCTCGCTCGTCTTATCTCCAGGAAGGCAACAAGTATGCGGTGCATTTTCCAAGCCACAGAACATCCTTTCCTCTTAGAAGAAACCAGCTGGAAGGCAGGTTCCCACCTCTCTGTGAAGTCTGTTTTCTGTCCATAAAG